CTTTGCTGGGACCCCGACGGGTCTTTAATAAAAATTATTATTATTATCCTGAAATACTAGCTAAACAGCCGATGAGGATGCAACGTTATGGGCAACTGCAGGTAAAGGCCGAGGCGGGAGCCGACGTTGATTGAGAGAGAGTGACGAAAACGGCGGTACGTTGTGGGAGTGGCTGTCGGCCGTCTTCACCAGCCCGCAGCCACACCATCACCAGCCCAGGCCCACGCCAAGTGTTACAGCATTCAAACAACACTGTTTAAGTCAAGGGACGTTACATTGCGGCTAGTTTATGTGCATGCTACGAGTTGGCTAAACAGCCTATTGCGGGTAGTCAAACGAACAAAGGCAATGTAAAAAACAAACACAACTTAAAGTTCAGTGAGTAAGATATGGAAAGACATAAGTGGGGTTGTAGAAAGAAAGAGGAAGTTATTCGTATAATAACAGAAATTACGACTCTTTTATCATGGTAGGTCCCGATATCGAGATCCATGTCGCCTGAACAATAGATAATTTGTCTCATGCTCCCCAGATAATAAACTAACTTCAAGTAATTAAATAAATCACAGTTAGCTTTATCATGAAACTGGCACTTGTCAAGCCCAAACCCTAAAGCATAAACCTGCCCAACCCCAAATTGCAATCGTAACCTCAAACCTAAGCCTGACATTAAACCTAAAGTCAGCCGTAACCATAAACCTAAACACCAACTCTAAAACTAATCACAGCTTAAAACTGTAAACCTAGCCCTAAACCTAACGCTAACCTTGACCATAATCGCTAACTATAGTCCCAGCCTTAAACACTAACCCTGACCCTCATTGCAACCTCAACCCTAGGCCTAGCCCCAACCCTAGCATTAAAAGTAACCCCTAACACAAACCCTGACTCTAACGCTAGCCCCTTACCTCAACCCTAGCCTCAACTCTAATCCCTTATCCTAAACATAACCTCACTCCTTACTGTACCCCTAACTTAGACCATGACCCTAGCCATAACTAAACCATGGGACTAATCCTAGCAGTAAACTTCATAATGAACTAAACTACAGTCAAACCCTGGCCTTAATCCCTCACTTAATCCAAACCCCGACCCCTTCAATAGCTCCAAAGCAAACATAGTCGGAAATCTGTGTTGAGTAACCGGTTTGGAATTACAACAGCCAGCACCATTTAAGTTCGCCGAGAAAATTTTAAGAACATTCGCTAGGAGAATTAACCAATCACCGACCAGGTGTTTGTGACTAATGGGAGCACGCGGGCACTGGCGGCCCTACAAGATTACGACCACTAATAGGTCGGACTGTCAATCGCTGCGTGCTCTGGGTTGGTGCCAATGGATCTTAAAACCGACAATACTTCCCCAGGGATTGTATATTTTTCATCAATTCCGACAGAAATGAACGTTTCTATGCTTAAGGAACATATCGGTGTCTTCGGAAGTATTAATCGAGTTTACCTAATTCCAAAGAAACGAGTTCGTAACAGGCCTAAACGACAGTACGAGGAGGGATGGGTTGAGTTCCATGATAAGAAGTCAGCTAAAAAAGCTGCAACGAGACTTAACTGTACAGAAGTTCTGGGTGGGAAAGTACGTGTTTTTAGTTTACTTGATCCCTATAGCGCAAACCATGGTATGGAGAGTTATGGAATGTCCGATACCTACCTAAGGTGTCGTGGGGCGACTTGTTTGCAATGGAGAGGCAAGACGAAGAAGTGCGGCGTATGTCGAAGGATAGGGACATCATAATGGCGAAAAAACAGGCGAGACTGTTTAAAAGTGGACTGGACTCCTACAAGCTAGAGGCCAAATTACGCGTTTCGAGAGGAAAACGGTATTTGGCATTGTTTTTCTTTCATGTCAACCTGCTATCTTGGGTCTTCCTGTGCTCCATTTATATCTGGAGAGTTTTAGTGAAAAGCCATAAGTGACTTTGTTTTCTAGCCCATCATTTCCGGAAAGTCGACTTCCCCCCAACATCTTCTAATGAACCATGACCACCATGGGGTTTACTGGATTTTAGCCTTTTCATTCCTAACCATTGCTTACCTCGGCGTCGAACTAATTAATGACTATCATACTTCCTTACGCTAGACCTCGTCACATAAATGCGTTTCGAACTGCCAGTCTACTTCCTAACCACAACACTTGGGGCAATAAGCTTCGCTACGTTTTGCCATATGTGGACATAGGCTTGGTTCTCGGCTAACTGCGCATACACTGAATTAAGCAACTTGCAGGTTTGTGGCCTCCGTTTGTTGCGTTGTGTCCCGGACATGCCACAGATCAAACGGTTACTCTGTAGGACAACCTAGTATGCTGTCCTCTTTCCGATATACAAAGTAGCGTTCTTCATCCCGAAGAACACTAGATTATTCCCCTTACTCCTCCTCGTCTGTGTGATTTGCCCAGGAAAAGAACGGTATCGTAAGCTACATGGACCACGAGTAACGTCCGTCCAAAGTGCGTGCAGCATAGACTTCCTCCATAGGCGCCACTATTACTGGTTACCTTTGTACTGAGGTTCGAAGTAAATGATACTTGCTTGCAATTACTCTAAGCAAGAGCTGAGACGGAATTTCATCACTGCACTGAACGTATAAAATTTTTCCAGCTGGAAAACCTGTGCCCTCGAATGGAATCGGGCACTTTACCTGCTGATCTACCTGGACTGCACTTGTCGGCTGCATTTAGTTTACATATGTTTCTCTCTTATGACCCATGAGGGTAAGCCGGCTGCTTATTTTGACGACTATTATACTGGGATTTTTATGGGAAATCTAGTGAGCACACTTATATTAGGTGATACACCAAACACCCAGTACGGTCCACCGTTTGATTACCTGGAATTGTTGCTATTGCGGATTATTCGCATATAGAGCTCCCTCAGTTTAAAAATTTGCGACCTCGAATGAAATCTACTGCTGGATTCATAAATTCGCGTAGGGTGCTATATCTGCCGAACTACTAGAGGAATGCCTTCCGGTTGTGACCTATCTCCGTTTCTATCCACTTACTCGTTCTCATTGCGATCGGCACAGCGGGCGGGCGTATACTCGCTTATTTCGGACACATCTGTGATCATGCCTGACATATCTGGCCTCGATGATGTCGCTAATTGTCCACGCATGACGGTCTGCAGCGGCGGACTTAGAGAGCTCGACCTATTCCTCCCCAGTGGCGGAAGCCGAATGCACCACCTCCATGCCTTGGTGACCCGTGTCGAACCCCCAAGTATGAACCAGCGCCGGATCAAGGGCAGCAACCTTGAGCTCATAAGACAAAGGACGAATTCGCCCCAAGATTACGTCAGTCGCCTTTCTCAGATGACTTGATCAACCATCGCGATTTCGCGACAAGTGCGGACCGTCTCATTCGGAAGCAAGTCAGTATACTTCACTGAACAGATGGTTCTTAGGTAACGATGGTCAAACTCCTCCAGTTTTCACTCCTCCCACGCACACAGCCCACATTTCGAACTATTAGGATGACTGACCGGACAGAAGTCCGGTTCGCGCCGATCTTTGGGACGACAGAAGGGTCGCGTCGGGCTCATACACGCTTTCTAAGGGTTTTGAAACCTTGGCAGATGGCATTGATTAAGGATACGGTGTCTTCCTTACTCTGCGCATTATGCAGCAACCTCGCTACGAGGTACTTGAAACTATTTCTTCAAGTTGACATCACTTTTCCAGAAGGATGCCTCCCCCTGGTCAAGGATGCAGCTCGAAATCACGTTTATCCTCCCGGCGTTTGTCGATAAACCGACCTATTTAGCGACTCCGTCCACTCCCGACACCTGAGACTGTAGATCACTGCTTGAGGCTACCAGGCGGCATTGTCAGCACAGCCGATATCGGTTAGACGGCACCCGTATACAAATCCAGCATCGTCAACGCCATGTAGAGTCCTTTTGAGAATCCAGTCCGCACCTTAGTTGGCCAGAACGAGCGACAAGGTACAATATTTTGAAACTCCAGATCGGATATAGAACGGTGGAGAGAGACTGTTTCTAACCCACACTCGCGCGGTGGGGAAATGATACTAGGCCCTGACCATGGCAAAGATTTTTGTCGATATATCACATATTTCCATAATTCTCAACAGAGACTCACAATGGACGGGATCGAACGCTGCGGTGGAGTCAACAAAGCAGACGACCGTTGCCTGCTGGCAGCCGTGGCGAAATTCAAGAATACGTTGCTGTGTGAATATCTGGGCCGCGTATCCACATCCAGCTGAAAACCCAGCCTAGTTAGGTCTCGTTCTTGAGTCACGCATAATGAGATCGCTCGAGAAAGACAGCGGTGAAGACCTTCGCAGCAACTTTGATGAGGCTTATGCCACGGTAGTTGTCGTAGTTTCTCCCATCCGGAAAACAGGCTCAGGGATGTCCGAGCCCCAGTCATCAAGAACGACTTCATCTTTCACGCTTGTCCAGTCTCCTAATGGAGCCTGGACGCCAAAGCCGTGACACAAGACTTACAGATCTCAGTGGGACTACCATCCTCTCCCAAAGCCTAATTTTGTGGAGCATTCATATTGCATCGGCGATTTCTCCTTGGGGCGGGGCCACATGACACTGCATAGGCTGGAGAGGAATAAGACAGGTGGAGTATTTCACGGTGTCACAGGAGAGTCCTCCATCCTGGCCAGCACGCACTTCAGCAGCCGGTTATGGCGTGGGTAAAGGTACGCCCTCTTGGCATTTTTGTGATCGGGAAGGCAAAATACCACTATAGACCGATTTACGCGCAAGTTACCGCCCTGCGCCCCTCGCGTGGGGCACACGATGGAGATCATCGTGTCTGTCTGTACCGCTCTCTTCCCTCCAGAAAATTTATAACGAATGCTCCTAACTCGACCAGGACTTTCACACCTGTCTGACTCTTTTGCACAATTGGCCTCTGGAGTTCCGCTAGCAAGCTCTTTCACGTTTTTTATCAGGTAACACTTAAAACATCACAGGCGCCCTTGAAACCGTTCCAGAATTAAGAGAAGTGCACATTGGTGTACCTTCCTCCAGATACTAAGTCGCCCGCGCCACTCTTAATGCGCGTACACTCTGGGTATTTTAAGTCAGACTGTGAATAAGAGGAAAATCAGATAGGTAGATCTTGACACAAATACCACCCATGAAGGGCTTTAGTCTTGTGTTAAGTGACGCTAAAACTAATTTGCATCCTTATCGCAGTGCTTTCTACTCGCAATCTTTTTCGTTAGAGATAATAGTGGTGATATGATACGGAAACTGGAGCTCTTTTCATGCCCCTACTTTGCAAAGTATTCGTCCGTACGTTAAGCTGCCAGGCTACTGAACTTTTAACCTCCGATGATGATTTCTTTGGACTGTAGCGCTTTGTTAGACCCTGTCATCAACGTAAACATGCCTTCGCCCCAGAATCAGGAAGCCTGACTCAGTCTTAATGAATGTCTAACACTTTCTGTCAGGACTCGTTGTTCGCCAAGTTGAAATTCGGGGTAAGAGTTCGTTTGATTGGTGGCTTGTGCCGTTTGAGTTACGGGGGCGTTTTAGTTTTTAACGCCAATCAAAGTATGGGGAACATCACTGAAACTCTTGCTTTTTCAAAGATTCTCCACAAAGGTGACGTTGTGTGAATGTCGCTTCATTATGCAGATTTCCAGGCGCCTTCACCCACATTCCGTGTTTTCCTGTACAGTTTCAAGGAACGACGTCCCCTTGATCTTGAGGGTCACCAGAAACCAACAGCAGAGGAGATCGAAGAGCGGTTGGCGCGCTCAAGTCGAACCGCACCGGAGGGTGTCGAAGGATTCTCGGCCTTGACGGACAAAACTTTCATGGAAAATTTGTTCTCTGGAGGACTATGACCCTACTTTTTTTACTTGAAGCACTTCACTTTGTGCATCTACGCCACTGTACAGTAACACATGTTCAACCCACCCCAAGCTCATATTTGCTTTCTTCTTAAGGCTTTGGCCCACGTGACCCAACTTGTTGACTTCGTTTGGTCCTGAAGCCTTGTCCGAGGCTGTCTGCCATCCGAAATGGCCTAACGGACTCTTGGTCGGCACCATTTACGCTATGGGCAGCTTAATGAGGTTCGCACTCACGCCTTTTATATGTCCAGCTGCCATGTATAAGTAGGGCTTTACTGGGTGATCTCGTGCTACTTTTATGCGTCAGTTAACGACTGAACCGTGACCGGATCCGGCAGTTGCTTCATAAAGAATTAAGTTTTTGGCCACATCAAGATTTTGCTTTTGGATGACAGGATCTTCAAAACCTCCAAAGGGGATAAAACAGAACGCTGGTGTTTGTTAGGTTTTTTTTAGACTTATGGGTGTGTAGTGCGGATGGCCAGCCTGATGGACCCGCTCAAGCTGTTGGCACGTGTTTGCTTCGTTTTATGGCATTCCATCATCCACTTTCGGTCACGACCAACTATTGTGTCGGCAGCACCTGTTAGACTGATAAGGAAATGACAGAGCGAGGTGGAATGGAAGTGACCACTTTTGTTGTATACCGTACAAACCTATCCGCTCAGTCTTAGGTGACATAATATTACAGGAAAGACGAAAGGCAGTCTGTGGTGCGTGTATCCACGTTCCGTACGCACCAATCGGTAATGTTAAGAATTAAAACTGCCAGACACGGTTAGTATGGTTGTCCTTTTACCGCCACGCTGTTCTGGATTGCCAGTCACGTCCCTACCCAAACTCTCACCTGGACCAAGACCACATTCAACCGGGGTGTAGTCTGCGTTGGAATGGGAACATTCCGGTGGGACTAACGTCCCAGGGCAAACCGACATTATTCTTTCCTGAAAGGGGCCACGAATAGGCCCCCATTGGCCGGGTCACAGGGCGACCGACTTGGCAGGAAGGCTGACCAAGATAGAGATGTTCATGAAACCTGTTCTATGGTACTTTCAGGACGCCACAGAAGGATGCTACGCAGATCGACATGAATTCACGCTGGCGTACATAATGCGTGACCGATCTCATGAAATGTCGGCCAAAATTCTGGAATGCGTTTCCGATTAGGAAGGATTACTAGAGTAGGGTTATACTGATTATCATGCAGCATAACCCTATAATATTTGGGACTCGCCAGGATGTTGGCTTTTGAATGCACTTCTTTTTGACCACATGCAGAAACCACACTGGGTAAAAATGGCTACTTAAGTAGCATGCGTTTTTTCTACTGATTTTGGGTGGTCTTATAAATTTAGATTTATTTTATAGAAAACATGCACAAAATATGCTTTCTTTTGCTCATTTGGAAGGAAATCACATTGTCTTTATATTTTATGCCCGAAGAAAGTGTGTGTTTGTGTTCTAAAAAAGTTTCCCGATTCCCGAATAATTTTTAGCCTGATTTCCCATTGCGTCAGCGCTTAGCAATTTCAGTGTACAAGGTGCATCCCCTCCGCGTAAGGAGAATCAAATATCCCTCTATGTCTTTAAGAGGATGCCACATGGAGTTCATGAAATTTTGCAATGGATCCGGACTGTGTTGTACATTTCATGAGGAGCATTAGTAAACGGACATGTGCGGTCTTGCATGCATGGACATCGCACAGTCTTGAAAATGTCATAATTAGAAACTTATTTAAAACCTAAATATACACTTTTTTCCGCCACAAAATATGAAGACAATGTGATATCTTACCAAATAAGCAAAAGAAAGCATGTTTTTGTGCATGCTTTCTGGAAAATATATTCGAATTTATAAGACCACCCAAAATCAGTAGAAAAAACGCAGGCCATTTTTACCCAGTGCGGTTTCTGCAGGTGGTCAAAAAGAAGTGCATTCGAAAGCCGACATCCTGGCGAGTCCGAAATGTTATAGGGTTATGCTGCATGCTAATCAGTATAACAACCCAACTTTAGTAATCCATCCTAATCGGAAACGCATTTCAGAATTTTGGCCGACATTTCATGAGATCGGTCGCGCACTGTAGTTACAATAGCACCCCAAACGAACTGACTGGTGAGAAAGACCTCTACGGCTATGTGACCTCACTTGTCAGCCGGGGCGTTGTCAGTCTATGCGCGATGCTTTCTATCTGGCCGTCGGTGTAGTTTATGGGAACGTTCAGTCAAAAATGCATTGAATAAGCTCGAAGCAGTTTCTGTTCAACTACCTTATCTTTGTTTGTCTATCCCCAAAGGGTGGTTCTACAACAGGATTTGACTGACAAGCAACATTAATTGGGTAGCAAGAGTCCTCGATGTTTCGTCATAGTAAGTTACTATGCAACTCCGATAGGAACCTATTAAATTGTTGTTCTTCACGGGTTAACTTGGCAACCTGTTGGTACCTGGTAAATTGGAAGCTTAAATGGGTGTTGTCGGTCTAGATGTTTGAACATCCCTAATGAAAGTAGATTAATTCAGGCTAGCTTTTTGATCCTGTTTTGTTTCCTTATGTCAACCGCAGGCCGGTCTCCCCAACATGTAGGTTAAAATTCTCTTTTCAATATTAACTTTGATTATTAAGGTCAGAGGATCTAAGTGATCTTGATGTGGCCAATTGCTTCCAACGGTCGAGAATCCTTCTCCGGAAGGTGTAACCCGTTGCTCTGGGACAAAATACTTGGAAGAAGACAAAAGTGTTGTTTTCTGCTGTCAAACTGCCGATTCATACACTTGCGTTTCGTCTGTATAGGACACAGAAGGAGAGAATTCACCAAGACTAATTCATTAAATTGTTTGCCAATTCCAAAGAGTTATATGAATAACGTTGTATTTGTGTTCTACACATTGTACTAAGTACAGGCATTTTCGATGCTTTCTAGAAAGGCAAATTAAGACCAGTGCCGGTATAGAAGGATAGACCCGCAATGCCACAGGATCGGCAGTGGCAAAACTATGCCTATATTGCGATATAGGACGCGATTGGCCTAATACGTAAAGACAGAAGGCGAGAGTGAAAGCAGTCAGTTGTAGAGTCGAATTCGTAAATAGGGTATTTGATTCTGGCCAGCATCGAAGTTTTCTCGTTAATGAATTCATTAACTTCACTGAAACGCATTTCCTTGCGCTGAAGAGCCCCGTTTTCTTTTTAGCGATAGTTATGAGCAAATCTGTCCCGATTATCAAGCCAGTAATCAATGTATCTACATTTGGCTGCGCAACACAAGGAAGGAAACAGGAACCTACTGTGGGAACAAGTGATGCTTAAAGAAGTGTGGGCAGTGACTTCCGAATCTGGATGCATTGCACTGTGCACTGATTCAAATTTCCCAATTAACTAAGGGTTATCTTTTTAAATAAATCAGGAAAGGCTACAACATGGACCAAATTATTAGCTTTTCTTATCTGAGTGCGGGATGCAGGACAGCACTCCTATGTCCGCGTTGACATTACCTCTGACGTAGGTTACGATGACACCTAAGATGCAAATGTATGAACAGTCAATATGCAATCACGCTTGCGAGCGTAGGTTCTTCGCTGTGTTCTTTGCTAAAATTTAAGCCACTCTGGACGGTGAGGACGTAGTGTCGTCAGATCACATTGCTTTGTAGGTTTGCTTCGCTAAGCTGTCAATTCCTTTGCAAGTCTTCTCTTCGATCTCCTTTTATCGTGTTAGCTTTCCCAGGCTCATGTCTTCCGACGTTTTCTGCTGTGGAAAAACTGCCTTCAGATAATTGGACGTGCATTGGCCGTTCATTTAATGACACATCCACTAAATTGGATCCCTTTGGGGTGAATCATTGTTTTAAACGGTTTGAAAGTATGGATTCCGTCTGCACACAATCTGACAGTTCGCATAATTGCCATCCGAGACGCAAATAGTGCTTTGATGTGGCTGTCAGCACAGCGATGTAAAACGATACTTTACTAGACAGAAGAATTTGGGAGTTGCCTTTTTCTGGCAATCTGCCATACGCATATTCGGTATTGTTTTTAAAGCTGCATTTATTTGTTATTTGCTATTTGTTTCTCTTAACCGTGCGGATTGGCGAATGCTCAAACAATCCGTGCATCCTCTCCGACACGATATCTGATCTTCAATGCTTCTGAACTCAGTCGGGGAATTTGGAGCCCATATCGGTCAACTTTCTGGAAGGCCATTTTCGTACGACAGTAAGGAATATCGCATCTAACAAGCGGCTCCCAGATGAGATCTCCGGGTATTGGCTGCTAAATTATAAACTTCAAAGTGGACATTTTCAGTAGATAGACACAAAGACGAACAGTCAGGATTTTTAACTGTCAGCTAAAGTACAGCTCCCATAAATGCGTGGTAGACAAGTAAAGAATGTCATGACGACAAAATGAAATTGAACAACATGCTATAGTATTAGATAGTACAACATCCATGTTCTCTTTGGGGGAGCATTCTCTTGTCCCTGCGTCTTACTGGTATAGCGCATTTAACCTTACTTACTTATTCCGGTATACAACTGACGAATTTGAATATAGAGACTGGGCCGCAAGCTGGAGACGAGCACGCGTCAACCAGGATTGTAGGCAGCTCAACTTCCAGACGTTTCTTTTTACAAAGTTCAGAAGTCTGATCTTGTTCTGTGCTGAAATTTTCTAATAATTTAAACGAAACCAATTAGCCAGTGTCTTGCTGATCTTTGCTTTGAGTATCCGGTGTCAAAAAGCACGAGGTCAGGAAGGCCTACGACACAACGGTGAGGACTTTCGGGAGGCAGTTCACGAGGAAACGAGAAACTACCACTCAAAAGGTGAACGAACTTTTACGTAAGTGTTGGAATAGGGGACGGCAGGTGATAGCGTCACACGAGATCCTTAGTTCACTGCCTCCACCCTCAGACCATCATAGATGGAGGGGATGAGCGGCTTAGCTATTACATACTCAAAGGATTATTCAACCAAATTGCGAACCGAAA